CTCAAATCTGTCATTTGAGGTGTATTGATTGGCATTTACCAGATGACAGATTATGTAAAGATTGTCTGCTTTAATCCACTTCACCTGTGAATGACTGCTAGAGTAAACAAGGCTGGCAGACTGACTGATCACATCTTCACAACTCAGTCCAGCTGCAAAGATTAAACTTCAGCTGGAATCAGTAAATGGTCTATTTAAGAGACTGCCTGCTTCTTACCCTGTTGTGGTTTGACAACGATCAAGGTCCCACTCACTTAAAGATAAAACTTCAAAAACCTCAAAAATGCCCACTATTCCAAATCTGAAAACCAAAACCATTTTCAAAGCTTGATCACCATCATTTTCCTTCAAAGTGTTTCAGGACAAGACAAGAATGAAACAGCTAAATTAAACCCATTCCTTGTAAAGAAGATTTCTGGAGCACAACAAATCCCATCAGAAGAAGACTCTGGCATATAAACCTACAGTAATTTTCACAAGAATTCTGAAAAATCTCTAACACACCACACCACATCATCTCCATAATCCTAACAACAAGCAGTCACACATTTTAAAGTAATCAACATTCAGTTACTGGTGTGGGTCCTCATTGAAGTATGAAAAACCTGAGATCAGAAAATCCATTGTACAGATTGTCAAGGGACCTGCTACAGTGCATATAGCTGCACTTTTGAAATAACAACTAAAAATCTACAGGAGATGCTATCCTTACATCCAAATAATTTATTCTCACACATATCCCCAGTGGTCACAACATCTCCAATGATTAAGGTACAATTTTCTGGGTAAATCTCTTTTTGCATGGACCATCCAAAGTATGTAGACTACAATGTGTCAGACTTCCCTTTCTTTAAGCTAGTCCTCCAACTTTCTACCTAAAATGTTAGTAGGCTGTGTTTAACAGCAGAACCAGGAGGACTGAGTAGTATGTGTGCATCTAATTTGACTGTTTTACATTAACAGTCATAAATATTAACCAAGGATAACGTACAATACAAAGTAATACAATATCTATTAAAAAACAACATAGATAACATCTCTCCCAAATCACAACAAAAAGTATAATTTTCAAAATCAGTAGTTTACCAAGGCTCCAAATAATGTAATGGAACACAATCTTGCCTTTCAGAAACGTAAGTTTAAATTTGGTCTCTGCTATGAAGTACCATGCCCCAGAATCAATCACCAGTGGATATCACTTCAGGCCCCAGAATGAAATTCTAATTTGTCTGTTCCACTTGTGAGACCCAAGGTTAAATGGTCTAAATTCTGAGACTTGTGGTGTGCTGATGGAATTAAAGAGGGAAACTCTCATGACATTTAATGTCCTAGAGTCTGGCCCGTCTTACTGATCTGATAATTATTCCAACTTGCAAACTGATCTGCACTACTTTTATCAAAAGGAAAAGAATTAATATGGATTACAGCCATTAAATGTCGTACCAATTGACATTTGTTATATGAAATGATTACATTTTGTTTGGAGTTAATGGAATGATAACAGTTTGAATGTTCCCTGACTAATGGACTACTGTAATAATTCTTTAATTTCAAACCTTTAAGGATTATTTGAAACAACAAGAAAAACAAAACCGGTTAAAAAAAAAAACATTAAACATTTTATATGGAGATTCAGGCAACATTTGCTGTATTTTTATCAATTACAGTTGATTTTAATGAAACAAATTGTTTACAAAATCTGAGCAGCTTATGAAAGAGACACTATTTCCAATTTAGATTCAGCAATTAATGTGCTTGTTAATAAATATAATAAAACACAAATGCATATGAATACCTGCCTCAAAAACTGAAAACAGAAAGCACTTCTTTATACAAAGGGTTGCGGGAGTGTGGAACAAGCTACGCAACCATGTTTTTGAAACCGATACCCTGACTCCCTTCAAGAAAGTGCTACTAACCTGCCGGGCAGGCTGGATGGGCAGATGGCCTCCTCTTGTTTGTAACTGTGCATATGTTCTTTTTAATTAGTCTCAACCCTGAACCAATTTCCAGGTTTCACATATAGGTAAATGAACCTCTGTAGAACAGAGTGCCTTATAATCTTCCTAGGCAAATAGATATTTAACTATATGGTTACAGTTAATTTTCCATATAGATATGAGGTCAGGGGTTGGTAGCAATTAACTTTCCAAATCCGTGCCATGTCAGGGGTTTCCATGGCAATCTCAATACAAATTCGTTTCTTAAACCCTCTTCACTCGGCTTTCCACCATGGTGAACAAGGAAGGCTGTTCCAAGACTCTTAAATCCCCCTGAACACATCACACAAACTATTGCAGCGTTCACCAGCCATCTCTGAACAATTCTCTGCCACACTTTCACATGGAAGGCAACCAATTTCTTTTAACCAAATACCTTTCACCTTCTGAAAGTTTCTGAATAAACAGTGTGTGGTGATATCAGGATTACAGACTGTGCATCAGACTGTTGCCTGATACACCTCCAGATCCCTACTAGCTGCATGCTTTGCATTTAATAATGCATGTAAAGAAGTACTATTATACTTTTCACCTAGGGTTGCATTTGTGCTCCAAATGTCTCATTTAAGACAGATTTTGTTTCTTTCCTCATTAGCTCAAAGTAGATTTTTTTTTTACATTTTACATGCAGCAATAATAAAACTGAAACCCTGACAATGCATTTTCCTTTGAAGATCTTAACAATCAATCTACATCAAAAGATTTAAAAAAGCAACAACAAAATAATCATACCACTTTTTTTAAGGGTTGGTAATACGTAATTGGTAATTAGTTGTGAGCTTTGGAACACTTTTACATTAACGAAAGATTGCTAATGGTTTCAGGTATTTAATACGCCTACGTAATTCACAACTCAAGTCTGTTTTTCCTGAACCACAGAAACCTGTTCACATGTGTAAAGAGTGACACATTGCGCCTTTATTCATGTACCATGAGAGGATGCAACAGTTTCCAGCATTGTTGAGACATTTATAGGTCTATGACACTAGGTTTCCACATTTATTCAAGTTTCACTATTTGCTTTGTGTTTCATTAAAAATACTTAAGCTGATACAATCACTACAGGGAGTAATTTGCCGGTTAATGAAAAACCCTGTGAGTTTTATGTCAAAATCCAGTGCACACTTCTGTGACTGACAACAAAGGCTTCAACAAAATCTCCTCAGCCATTTTAAGATTTAATGGACCATAACAGCAAAACGTAAGAAAAATAAATGGTAAAAATGTTTCCAATGGACATCTAACCCTTTTTAACCAAAAGTCTGACATCATACTAAATGCAGAATAATGGCATGAATGGTAATATATTATTTATTATTAAAACTAAAACATATACATCCTGTCTGACCTGTAAACATAGAAGCTCATTAAGAGTTTTTGAGTTTAAAAATAAAATGTTTACAAAAATACTGCACTTTATTTTGATGAACGAATTCTTAATTTCTTGCTGCTCTCAACCTACTTTCGGGTGCTCATTTTTTCCACTGTATCTCCAATAAATAACACTTCTTCTTTGTTAAAATCTTTATTTCCCTGAACTTCCCATAAAATCATTTCGAACAGGAAACCACAGACAGAAAGCAAACCGATATAAAACAATCATATAAGCAAACCCATTTTATAAATCATGCTGAATTAGCTCACTGGATTTCAAATATAATCCAAAACGCTTTCGACTAGTTACCAACGTTAATCGAAAAAAAAAGTTTTAAAACTGGAACCATTTTAACGGTCATGTGTTTTTTAGAGTTTATCAGCTTCTAATAAGAGTTTACTTGGTTCGCTTTCAATCAAATTCTCTAAACTTTTAACATTTTCGCACTCGTATTTTTATGTTCGGTTTACAATCACGCGTATAATAACCTTTATTTATAAATCAGATATCAAAGTACTTTGCAGATGCACAGTTAGGTCATGGGTGTATGATATAACACGTTAAAACAACACTACAACTTCCTTAACCATTGTCACCCCAAACTATAAGAATTTAAAGCATTTATGTTTATAAAAAAAATCAAACGAACAAATGCTAATGTTTGTGTTATGCAAAGAATCCGTCGCTACGCTTAAAAAACAAACTATTATTTGTAACCACCTTTCTTTTTAGAGTAAAAAAAACTATTAAATAAACATGAAAAAAAACAGATTCTGTTAAACTGTAACACAAAAATGAGCCACTCGAGGTGGAGGCGTGTCCCCATTAAACACTGCGTGACGGAATTTGAAATAACCCAAACCCAACAGCAAGAGGCTGGGATTGTTATTGTGTAACACTACACAAAACAGAAAACGGTTTTCAAAAAGACCGTTCTTCCCATCGCTACTAATATTCCACTAAGACATCCACTGTTTTCATTTGCCAACTGCATTACTTTTCAGATTTCTGACAAACGCCCTTATGTAATACAAGCAGCATCAACACATTTCCCAAACAGAAATGAAACATTACAAACAGCACATTGCATTTTTTTATACCCAAAACGTGAACGGTGTCACCAATACTTTGCATACACAGAAGCAGTTCCAGACAGGACTGAAAAGCTGTCGCCAGTGTGCGGTGGCAGGTAGCTAGCCAGTGAAGAAACCTGTCCGAAATTAAAACAGTCTCATCTTCGCTACAGCTGGCGCATTTTGATATGGCGTATTACGCATATAATCTCTCTCCCTCCTCACAATGTCACTCCATCTAATTTTCGGGCGGGTGGGGAAGTGAACGTGTGGCGATACGCCATAAGAAATAAAAACGATACGCATTTTTTACACCGCGACTCCGGTTCAGATCACGTAGTAAACACGCCAGATGGGTTCCCCGTAGTTTAGGGAGTAACATACACAGAGAGATAAAAAAAACCGAGCGGGGTGGACAAAACTCAGCTCTTTCGCGTTTTGTATTTGCGCACTGAATCCACAATGCGGGCACACAAACCACCGGTCTAGAGGCAGGCGACCTCGCCGTGTGTAGCGACGAGGCCATGAGCAAGTGAAAGCGAAATAACTTACCCAATTTGACAAGAAATTTGCAGCAGATTTCAACACTTTCTCTCCTCCACTAGGCCGCCATGTTCCGTGTTGCTCCGCGCATGTCCTCCAGCGGCTCCGACTCGCATTTCAATGCGGGGCTCTTCAGGAGCGGTGATGGTGATACAGTAGGTACTTTTCATGAGTGTAGGTTTATGCTATTACGTCATTTATTGCCCCGTCCCCCAGATTTTGAAGTCGCACTCAGAAAATATCGGTCGACTGATGCACTTAACCTATTTTATTTTTATATAAATTGAAAGAGTTTGGTAAAGCCATGACAGGTAGGTCATACTTGTAGCCAGTGAACGGTCCAAGCAGCTTTCCCTCCCAATTTTGGGGTGGGGTTACTGGGAAAAAGTTTGCCCTTTCCAAGCGCGTATTTTACATAAAAAATTGTCTTCATTTCCCCCATAGTACTGTTAGTTGTGTTATGATTTACAGTTTCATGAAAAAATAAAAAACATGCCATTTATGATTCACAGTGCCCTTCAAATAAAAATCTGGGGTGTTGCGAGGAAAACTACATTTGGTCTTAAGTGTGAACACTGTAAATATTAGGGGAACGTCATTCCGTTGGTCGTCCCCTTAAAACTTGTTGATAATGAAATGTGTACCCATTTGCTACAGCTTAAGAAATGAAGGTAAATGCGATAAAAATCCAAACGCATCTTTTGTGTCAAAAGGTCGTTCAACTTGCTTAATGCTTACCAAATCAAAATACTGCAATATTAATGGAAAGTAGAATTTGTTTCACACACAAACTGTTCTCTTCCTCTTACCCGCGACGGCTTCTATAAAGCTGATGCATTTCAAATGCTGCGAAGATGCAGTTTTAAGGATTAAAAATATATTCACTGTTAAAAGTGAAGAATATAAAATAATAAGAAAAAGTAAATCAGTGAAACAAATTAAAATATTAGTTGAAGTTGGTATTGCATTCCACTGAAAGGCTTTGGTAAGCCTTGTTGTCTCGCAGAGCTGGGGGCCTGTGTTGATTTCGGACCTGGGGTGCTATCTGTGTGGAGTTTGTATGATCTCCCTGTGTTTGTGTGCGTTTCTCAGGGGAGCTCTGGTTTCCTCCCACAGTCCAAAAAACATACAGGTAGGTTGTAGTAGTTCAAGTGGGTAGCTGCGTCAGCATGCGTAGGCTGCAAAGGAACAAGTAATAGGTTTATTCCATGCTGACAAAAAGAAGAAAGAAAACACAACGTTTCGGCCATGGAGCCTTCTTCAGGTGTGTCGTTCCTTCAGGTAGGTTAATTAACTTCTGGGATAACTGGCCCTGGTGTGAGTATGTGTGCGTGTTTGTGTCTCTGTGTGTTCTGCGATAGATGGGTATCCCATCTAGGATGTGTCCCGCCTTGTGCCTGTTGCTTGACAAAACAGGTTCTGGCTCCCTTGTGACCATGAATTGGATAAAATGGTTAGAAAATAGATGGATAGAGCAAATGGGTGAAATGGGCATCACTGAGACAGAAGAGGCTACTGGTTGAAAAGTCTGGGATGTTTATGCTGACAGATCAGTTACATCTGCCAGACCATGTGGGGAGGAATTTAAAAACACAAACAGAATCCTAGGATATATAGGTGAAATTGTAGCATGCTTTTCGACTTGAACAGAGAAATGGATGAATATTTAAGTAAAGAGTATTCAAATGAATGAACAGTGAAGAATTATCCAAAGGACACAAGTATAAACTATTTGAAAGTGCATTGAAAACTGAGAACAGGGGGCACTTCTTTATCCAAAGGGTTGTGGGAGAGTGGAACACATTTCCCAGGCATGTTGTTGAAGTTGATACTCTGATGTCTTTAAAAAAACAGTGGGAAGGGATCCCTGGGTCAATTAGCTACTAATTATCAAATGGTGTGTGGGGGCTACACATTGGTGGTAGAAGGGAGTCCCCATTACTGGTAAAGCACTTTGAGTACTTTGTGGAATGTCCAGATAAATGTTATATAAATGTAAGGAATTATTATTATTAATAGCTGGATAGTCTGAATGACCTCCTCTTTGTAACTGTTAATATGTTCTTAGTAATGAGTCTCAACCCTGAACTAGTTTTCAGTTTTTGTATATTTCAAACATATGTGGAATTTAAGTAACTGAATCTCTGCAGAATACAACTTCCTTTTCTGTGGGTATTTGTTAGAGACATTCGTGGAAAGTGACCTGCCTAGTTAGACAGCAACCGACCATGAATAAGCAAATTGAAGAGAGAATGGGTGGGATTATGTTTATTACTGTTCTCTGCAAGAGAGTATTTTTCAAACTAAAAATTTAGTGCAGAAGCCAGTTCAAGAAGTCTAATTATGAACAAATTCAGTTAAAGGGACTAGTTAGCCTAAAAAGTTTTGGATACAGTTGAAACAAAAATCAGAAGACCCAGGAATCCTTCAGGAGAAATGTATTTCAAGAACCACTGCTCTAATCATACAATCAGCAATAGGGGTTACTTAATTCATACAAGCATTTCTACATGCCAGATTTCTTAAAAGAAAGCACAGCTGGTAAAATCTTATTGGCATCTTCACTGAAGTCTCACAGTAAAGCAATCCGATGATTAAGATAATAGTTTTTGATGATAGAGAACTGCTATTTGAAATTTTATATTGCTATTTGTGAGTCTCATATGCACCATATATAAAACAGATGAAAATCTGTTTTTGATATATGGTGCATATATGACTTACAAATACCAGTTTAGACAAATATGTATGTATATCATTCTCTTCTTCACAGCCCAAAGGTCTGTAGCCCGTAATGGATCAAAATCGACTAGAATTGACCCTGTCAGCAAGCTGCCACAGAAATTATAGAGGCAATGCATCATAAATTCCATCGGGTAGAAACACAAAAAGGTGGGACAAGCAAAGTGCGGTTGTTAAATACAGGTCTGTTATCTGAAGTTATCTGAGTGTTATCTCCCCTGCAACCCCGAAACTGGAGCAGTTAGAAAATGGATGGATGGGACCTGACGTGGGCATGATGTGGAATTCGGAATAGCTGGAATTGGAAACTCCAATTGAATGAATGCCAAACCGTCCCAATTGTGTTGCAGTTGCAACACCTAAGTGGTTCTTACTATGTGCATGAACTATCTTCAGTTACATTAAAGTATGATTGTATGTCTTAATCATGGAATATGTTGAATCTGTCATGATGTTGATGTATTTACCTTAATGATATTAAGACTGGAATTATCTTGAACTTTATTGTATCGTGTTCAATCCCAAAGGCAATAATGATAGGTAAATGTATTACTAAAAACACTAGCATAATATGTACATAAATCTCTTATATAACAGAGCCTATAAGCTCCTACATCAGTTTATTCCCTAAATTATGCATCATGGATTTAGTCATCATCTGCTTGCATTAAAATTCTGGAGTCTGCTGATATTTCAGAAAACATGCTTTCCATTTTGTTTGGACAAATCATGCTGAATATTGTAGTTCAAAATATGGATCCTCTGAATAACATGAGGTGTGGGTAACTGGTTACTTTTCATTTGAGAGCGGTGTATGATAAAATACACCATATTACATTATTATCATCAGCATCAGACATTAGGAGTAATGTAAGTGATGCTGGCAGAAGCAGCTCTCATGGAAATCAGCAGTAACAAAAGTAATGACTTAATAATAATCATATTGGAAACATAACATTTGTTTTTCATTATCGTTATCCTACAGAATGTTAGACTACAGAATAGATTTGAAGCCATTGTCAATATGTGAGCCTCTGTCTTGTATTACTGTGATGCTGGTAAGCAGAGCCCCTCTACAGAAGCACGTGCACATGCTGGCATAGGTAAACAATATTTCCATTAAAAAAGCAACATAAGAATGTTTTGATGGCTAGATGTACTAAATTAGCTATATTTACTGGAACTTGATGCCATCTTGTGGTTTCAGTTTGTAAGATATTACAGTACGGGGAAAAGTCAGATTATCATTTCAGTCAGAAAAATGTTTTTTCAACAAACAAGTGCATCTTCCGTAGGACATTTAGAGGACCAATGTGTATTTTGCCATTTGTTCATCTTAACATTTTTTAATAGAAGCAGCAGTAGTAACTAGCAACACTTTAGATATTTAAATTTTTTCCAAAAAAATTTTAAAGGTTGAATTAAAAAAGGTTAAGAATCCATTATGGGATAGTACCGAAAATGAGAAAAACTGGAAAATTAATGTGATTTGGAAAAATGTCTGAAAAATACCATTAATGTCAAACAGGAACATTTCTTCATATACAAGGAACGTTTCATTCAGGGACAGTTTTTAAAAGATATTCTGGGGATGTGTAGTGGTATAAATACCTTCTGGCAGTAAATTGAGTGATTTGTATGAGTGTGTGTTCTTTGTGCGTAATTTTAGTACTGACAACCGTGTCAGTACGAATTTATAACGCACTTAATCTGATATACTCCCCAATAAACAAACATTGCTCACTGGCTTAGACCTGACATGCAGAACCTTATTTGTTTCTTGTTATTTCAAGATTTCTTTTGAAATTTTTCTAGTGCAGCATATGTTGGAGTGGCATTTGGCATGAGTAATTTTTAGAAACACTAATTATATTTAGCCTCCGACCTTTTGAGTCTTTTTCTGGAAGCTCATTAGGGATAAATCTGGGTCACCTGCTCTGTGGTGAAATGAACCCATCTTGACTCACTGTTCTGACAAGTGACGCTGTGTTGAACCAATCTTTACAGTTAAGTGTCTGTGTGACTGTAGTAGTCTAAATGGACCTCCATGAAATTGCTTTCCCTTGGTTTGGTTTTGTCACACTTTTAAGGCTGGGTGCTACATAAGCAATTTTTTACTGCATCTGAAATGTAATCATCTCTACCCTGAACCTTTCAGGGTGTGCTGATGTTGTGTCATAATCTGTGTCCCTTTTCTAGATTTCAGGGATTTTGAATACTTTCATTACTGTAGCTACATTGTAGCTTATTGAGTATTTATACAGTGCGATAATCACAGTATATTGTTTTTCTTTGAAAAAGACAAACTTGCAGGATTTAACAGCCATGATTCTGTCTGATATTGTGAAATGGCGTTAGCTACATGAATGTTTTAAACAAAAAAGTGATACTTCTTGGTAATGTTTTGTTTTAAATGATAGGATGTACCCATGCATGGGTCAGCAACTGTCTCTGACAAAAGCCAAAAGTAATGTACTGCTTGATACCATGT